TGCTGAAACACCATGGCCAAAAGCAACTCTAGGAGGAAATGTTTTGTTTTTGTTTTGGTTTTTGACTTGCATGTCCACATCACAGTCATTGTCAAAGTAAGGCAGGAACTCAAAGCAGGAACCTAGGAGCAGATCTGAAGTATGGAGCCCATGGAAGAATGCTGCTTACTGACTTGCTCCCCCATGGACCACCTTCCCAGGAGGTGGTAATGCTCACAGTAGGCTGGGCCCTCCCATATTGATCATGAAGCAAGAAGTATCTGATAGTCTTGCCTACAGGCAATCTGATGAAATCACTTTCGCACTGGAGTCCCTCTTCCCAGATAACTCTAGCTTCTGGTAAAGTTAACAAAACAAAAACAAAACGAAACACATAACCAAAAACTAGGACAGTGGTACAGGCCTGTAATTCCAGCATTGGGGAAGTGAATGCAAGACGATCAGGAGTTCAAAGTCATTCTCAGCTACACAGTGAGTTCCAGGCTAACCGGGGATACATGAGACCCTATTTCAACATGCACTTACTTCTTCAAGTATCTGGTTTCTGCTGTTGTCGGTCCAACCAGGGAAAACTCTTGGCTGTTACAGGACCTGTATGATTTGACCAGGACTGCCTGTGTAATTTCTGTATTTTTGAGAGCAACATTTTTGAGAGTGACATTGATTCTACTTTCCATACTGTAGTCACGTAGTTCATACCTCACTGTAGTCTCTGGGCCAGTTATACAAGGGTGAACATGATTAGCCATCACCCGCCAAGAGAATCAGGAAAATGTCTTTGCTAAATGCTACTCTACATGCAATCAGATAGATAGGTAGGAAATGAGAACCTTCCAGAAAGCGTATACCAAATCTGTTTGACTAGGAAATGCATAGCAAAAGGTGGGAGGAAACACTCAAGGAAGGCCAATGTGTGTTCAGCAGAGGGAATAAAAACTACAGAAACACAGCAGAAACCAGGCCACACGGGTTTCATAGATCGGATTCCTTCTCTACTAAAAGCAAAGATCAGTAGGTTGGCATAACTCCAATGGTATTCTTAACGTAGAACTCTGGACATAAGGAAGAGGATTGGATGTAAAGGGTCACCAACAAAGTATAGCAGCCATCCTAGGAGCCTGGGATTGTAGTAGCACAAGAGACTGTTGATACAAGCAGAGTTGTTCAGTAGCTAAAATCAACAGGACTTTGTGATTGATTGAATGTGGGAGCGATGTAGCTCTATCCTCCAGGAAGCAGACTCTCAAACAGAGATCACTGTGAAGGATGTTTACTGAGAAGTACTCTTGAAGTCAACACCTGTGCAAGAGGGGATGAAAATAGGACTGGGCAAAGGGAGAGGCTGAGCAGTAATCCAGACCCAGCAGAATCCTCAACCACCCTCAAAGGAGGAGCTGGGGTGTTGTGAACAGATATTCCTTCAGTGGGATGAGGAAATGGGCTCTTTCTCTTCTGCTGATTGATCATTGGATGCATGATAACCCAGGAAGAGTTAGTGATGTTGAAGGTACTCTGCTCTGACAACTTCTGGAGAGGACTGATTCTTGAGCACTGTCTTCTAGGCAATGAATCCTTTCTTTTTGAGGAGTCTGGACTTTGTACCACAAGGTCCATTACAGGGGTGGAGGAGCATGGAGGATAAGGATAATTTTATGTGTATGAATGTTTTGTCTACACATATGTATATATACCACATAAGTGTCTGGTGCCCACAAAGTCCAGAAGAGCAATGGATCTCTTGGAATTGGAGTTGAGAATCACCTTATCTGTGCTGGGAACCACGCCCCAGGTCCTCTGCAAAAGTAGCTGGTGCTTGCTCTTAATAGTTGAACCATATCCCCAAGCCTAATTCCTAAACTTTCAATTTGTGCACCTTAATGTTCATATATAGGACTGTGAATTGCAGTCTCTGGTTTATTTAGTGAAATCCCCGCTATAGTAGGAGGTCTTCAGGGATAGACTAGCTGCATGGAAAATAGTGTACAGTCCCATAATTGATACCTAGATACATGGTTTGTTGGATAACTGAATGCAATCTACATCTATTTCCATCTTTCTCTCCTCCTGTATTTCCTTTGTCCCCTTGTTCTTCAATGCTACCGTCACCCAGTATGGGAAAATTCATCGGATTATCAGAGATACCACCTGTGCTGGAGCTGAACAAACAGCACAGCAAGTTCCTCTGATCCAGGGCTCTCAGAAGAGCAAGGGAGACAGCGGAGCACGGGGGAGTGGGTGATGACATCCCAGGCTCAACCCTTCCTACAGTGCTTCATCCCTTATGAACTCGGCGGTGCCTGGTCAGGTCCTCTGCAAAGCAGTCAAAGGATACTAACTTTCAATTCCCCATTTATCCAGAGTCCACCCAACTCTAATCCCCTCTTCCACTGAATGCCACTCCCACTCCCACACTTCTGACAGTCGCTTTGGGAGTCCAAATGATGATACTTTATCTCATACTGGAATGGGAAAGAATGAAAGAAACAATACTGAAAAAAGAGGCCAGGCCTGCCTCAGGAAGCTGCGTCCGCTCAGTCTTGTGCTCCACACGCACCTCCTGCTTTGTTCCCTCCCGCTACATCCCAGTGACTCAGTCCTTTTCCGGCCCCCTCTCGTGGGAACCCAGCACCCTACACCAGTGCTGCACCTGTGCTAAGGGCAAACAGGGAGCATCAGCGTTTCGGGTGCAGATGGACGCTGCCTAGAGACCAAGCTACCTAATTGCCATCATTCATCTGGGACAGGACCAGGACTAGAACCCCACTACACCTCAATTTAGTTCATTTAGTGCTAGTGCGGTTCTCACATCCATTCCCAGACGCCTCCACTGCCCTAGTCAACTCTAACTAGAGGCAGGCTTTTACTGTGTACAGTCTCCGTTGTGAGCAACTGCGGCTCTCCCTAACCTTCTGGAAGCCCTGGAGCAGAAGCTTAGATTTGGGTTTCAGATAGAAGATGGGGTGGTCTGAGGCAGAAGCTGAGGCTACCCCAGCTCTCACAAAAGCTGCAGAGAGAGCTAAAGTAGTGAGTGATCTGTGGTGGTTACTGCGGCCACTGCGGCAGAGCATGGTAACTGTGGCTCCAGGAGGGCTAACGCACCTGCTCTGTAGTGTGGGATCCTGGGGCAGAAACAGTATCACCACCGCCACTTCCACATTTTCTAAACCACCAAAGAAAGATGTTGGGCCCCTCAGCAGCAGCTACTCACTCCTCCCGTCGTGCAGTCCCCTCCGCAGACGCGCGCAGGCGCCCCTGTATACACACACACACACACACACACACACACACACACACACACACACACACGCTCAAATTTCCAGAACTAGAGGCAGTGGTATGAGAGGTGGGCAGGAAAGACATATCTAAGAGAAGAGTGGAGAACCTAGCGCGGGGGCGAGCCTGGAGAGCAGTCACCCAGGAGCGGGCGTGGAACTCTGGAGAGGGGGCGGTGCGCCAAGTGTCACCAGGTGGGACAAAAGCCGCCCAGACAGAGCCTGGGACCGGCTGGAGTCAAGGCAAGGCTGGTGGAAAGTGGAGGGGTAGGAGACAGGGCAGGGGGCGGGAACCAAGAGGGGCGGGCGATGTAGTGGGCGGGAGCCTGAGCCATCAGTGCTTCAGGGCCAGGTGCAACGGGGGTTGTAGCCCACTTGGCGGAGCTGAGTGGGACTTCACGGGGACCATGGAGCTGCTCAAGCTGAATCGCAGTATGCAGGGACCCGGAACCGGGCCGGGTTCCTCCCTGTGCCGCCCGGGTGTCCCCCTCCTCAACAGTAGCACCACCGGGAACCTCAGCTGCGAGCCCCCTCGCATCCGCGGAACCGGGACCAGAGGTGGGTGCCTCCCTAAAACCCTCTCACTGCACCCCATAGCACTAATGAATAACCCTCACGACCTCTACACTGTCAACTGCCCATTGCTTTCCCTTGTAGTACTTCCACACACTGTGCCTCCAAGGTCTTACAACTCCATCAAACCTTCACAGAACCTGGTTCAGAGCCCTGGCCTCTTACTTCCTCTGCTATACCTGTGACTATTGTTCATCCCCAAGCTCAGCACCCCACAGCCGGGAAGCAAAGAGCAAGGACCTCTCCTTGCCAGTAGGTCTAGCTCTTTTCCTTTAACATCCAGTTTGCAGAGCCAGCACTGGAGAGAGGGAGAGGGAGAGAGGGAGAGAGGAAGAGAGGGAGAAGGGGGGGAAGAGAGAAGCCTGTAAAAGAAAGAAAAAGCAGGAGAAGCCTGTAAAAGAAAGAAAAAGCAGGAGAGTGTGTCAGTGAGGGCTGGAGCTCTCTGGACTGCCTGGATGAGAGTCTGGAGTTGTAATCTGTCCCCCGACCCCAGCCTTCCCAAGAAAAGATTGTCAAATCTGAATTTAGCTGGCACTAGGGAATGCTGCCTTTCTTGTTTCTATTTGCCCCAAAATTCCTCTGCTCCCAGAGTCAAGCCCTTCATCTATTTCCTTGCCTTTTCTGTTTTTCTGAAGGTTTTGGAGTCCCATCCAAAGACTCCCAAGTGTCCCCTCTTCTTATGTCTCATTTTCCTGGAGCCACCTTCCTTTTGCATGAGTCTCATCCCTGTGTCACCGGCATCCCTTCCCACTGCCTTCACTCATCCTGTCTTTAAAGTGACTCTCCCTCCTCCCATCAGCAAGCGTCTTCAGTGCTTCAATGAGCATTTTAAGATGCATTTCCCCCTTCCCGTACCCACTTTCAGTGTTTAATGAACACTTGCTAGGGTAAGTGCTGGGGACACCGGTATGAACTAGACAGGATCTGCAGTCTCATCATCGGTCTGCAGTCAAGTACACAGGGACCAAGACCATTGCCTGGAAATCCCAGCAAAGGCTCTGATTGAAATAGGGACAGCCAAGGGTGATGGGGTCTGATAACCTTGCCAAGGGTGCAGCCTGGGAGCTTGGGTTCTGTAAACAGAAAGGGAAAGAGTTGGAGTCTGTGTTCGAGAAAGAAACGTTGGAATAAATTACAATCCGCATAATTACTTACCCCATAAAACAGCCCATTCTTTCTCCGTCTGGCTGTTACCCGCTGTCACTTCAAATATTTCATTCAGGAGATATTTACTGAAGCAGAAACTGCGCTAGGCAACAAGGATATGAGGGTAACACACTGTCACAATCCTACTTCATGGAGCTCAGAGTTTATAGGGAAACAGACAGGTAAACAAGGAACACTTCCAGCCTGCCCTGCTCTTGGGAATCAAGATTGCTTTCCTGGGGTTGTGAGACATGGGTTTAAGCAGAAAACTATGGCACACAGAGAGCTAAGTGAAGGAGCAGAAGGAGCACAAAGTGTCTTAGGTAAAGACAGGCTGTCTAAAACGCTCAAAGTTTAAGCCCATGGCAGATTTGTTCAGCACAACATAGTTTTTGAATGGCCGGAACATGTACCATTAAAGGTACATAATCAACACTCAGGCTGGACCAGCCTGGAGTATTATTTATGGAGAGCTTTAAGACCTTGCAAGAGTGTAGCATTGAGATCTATGAAGGATTCAATAGTGTTTCCAGGGTTAGTTGTGTTGTGTCGAGAATGGATGTGTGGATGAGATGGAATGCAGAAGGATACTTTAGAAAGCTATTACATTACACAGATCTGGATGAAAGATGATGCTAACATAGAGGTGCTGGCAGAGGGGATGAAGAGAAGTGGATGGACTTGAGAGCCACTTCTGGAAATGGAATAAACAGACCCTGATGATCGATTAGAAGTAGAGAGGGTGGATGAGATCAAGGAATGACATCCAGTTTCTAGTTTGGGAAAACTGGAAGGATGTAGATGGCATATCATGAGAAAGATAATCAAGGAGGGGCTGGATATGCACTTCATATTAAAGCCCTTGCCTAGCTACTGCAAGGTTCTGAATTCAGTCCCCAGCAACAAGGGAGCAGAAATAGCTTTGGAAGAGGGGATTACTATAAACTCAGTTTGGAGTCCATGGAGTTCAGACAATGATGGCTAACTCATCAAAGCAGCTGAGTACAGAGATCTACAACTTACCTAGGAGAGCTGAGCTGGAAATACAGCCTTGAAAAGTCTTCACCTGGAAGGAGAACTGGAAACCATAGGAACAGGAAAGAAAAATCTTTTTTAATAAAAACATTGTATAAGACGAGAACAGGGAAGCTGACACGGGCCCCTACAGAAGGCTGTCATTTAAAGGCAAAGCAGAGGGAGGAGATTCCATGAAGAGTGAAATGAAACAGAAACAGTAGCTGTGTCATTGCAGAAAGGAGAGGAAAGTCTTGACTGAGGTGGAGTAGGTGATGCTAAATATTGCTATGACGAGTCAGAGATGAACAAAACACAATGGGTTTGCTTAGGCGCAATAACTAGTCCTTAGGAGGATATGTGGAAACTGAGACCTGACTCAGAGTGGGCTATGGGAAGGAATAGCAAGAAGTGAACAAGAGTAGTTAGTCAAAGTGTCCAAGAAGTAGAAGTGCTGGGAGAAAGAGAAAGAGGACAGTGATAGAAATCTTGTGTGGTTGCGGAAGAGTAGGCTGTAGCCGAGCTTTACTGCACCCCCCCCCACACACACACACACACTTTAGAAACAGGGTCTCATTTGTTGCCCAGGCTGATCTCAAAATGGCAATTTCAAGTTTTTTTCTGCAGATTTGTTATATCCTGGGCATTTAAAAGTACGGAAGAATCAAGAGAGATATTTAAAGGTTCTCATGCAAGGGAGAGCAGCGAGTAGAGGAGGGTCGCTGAAGGAGCAAGATGCTCAGTGATTCAGAGCCCAAGGACAAGGACAACCTCATTTATCTGGATGCTGTTGCTTGGACACATCAGGTTGTTATGCAGGTGTGCAGACACGCCGTGCAAAGAGCGCTGGCCAGTCTCACTGAAATAGTACCCCACAGACGCACACGTCACCTGGCTCACTACGACGTTGCCGAGAGAAATGTGGATGCTGCGCACTTTATTTTTAGGCAAATCTGAGACTTCACCATTACCGCACATGCTGTCCATAGTAAAACGGGTGATAACCACACTCAGTGTTGTCCGCAGTCATTTCGAGGTGGTTTGTCTGTCACATACTACTCTTATTTTATAATCACCTACAAAATAGCACATCTTCCCCAAGGCTGCGTAGGTAAACCTTCTGAAGATATCCCCAGGAAATCATGCAGTATTGTTCGTCAGCACTCAGACATTTTCAGTAATGACTCGGATAGTCTCTGTGTTCAGTCAGGCTTTCAGCTATTTCACACAATCAAGATTAACATCTTAGCTGAGCTAGACGTGTTAGCACCTGACATTTATACTCACTTAAATAGTGCCCACACATCTTGGCTAATGCCACCCCCTCAGTCAGAACCGCCGGCCCGTGATTACTCCCCCATTCACATACAGAGCTCTGCATACAAGCCTTGCTTCCTGAGGATGTCATCTGCACCCTGAAGTGTTACTTAGTGTTGGTTATCGTTGTTGCTTACTCCTCTGTCATCACAGTTACTCAGGTGTTCTTTAAACTTAAACACAGCCTATATTCAATTTGATATTACCAGTTATTACTCAAATAAATAAGGGCTACCTTCACCTACCTCTATATTACTCTCAAGTTCTAAGGCATAATTATATTGCCAATTCACCATTGCATATTCCCTCTGCTTACTTGCTCCATGCCACTGACACTTGGGTGTGTCTCATGCACCCCGCTATTCCCCCAAGTTAGTTGAACCCTATCCACGCTCACCACACATATATACACGAGTATTACAACGATGTCTCTGTTAGCAAAAAACCAAATATAGCACACCAGGTGAAGGCATTGGCTGCTTCAGTTCCTGTGAAGTTTTTCTTAGAAAACCCTGTTTTGTTTTGTTTTGTTTTGTTTGTTGACAAGCTACCTGTACCCTAGGCTGGTCTTGAACTTGTGATCCCCTGCCTCCAATCCCTAGGACTACAAGCGTGTGCCACCACATCTGGTTTAGAAGGTGCTGGGGATCAAACCCTAGGCTTTGGGTGTGCTAGGTAAGCACTCTACCCACTGACCACATCCTCAGCTTAAGCCTATCGTTTGCTTTAGATGTTGTCTGGATCCTTGTGCTTATGCTTCTCTGCCATTATCAGGCTGATCACACACACACACATGCATGCACACACACACGCACACACACACTCTCACACACACGCACACACATGTACGCACACACACACAAATAAACACACACATTTACAGTCTCACATACTCTTTCGCAATGTTCACACGCATTTGCTATACAATTGCTTGTCATGCTTATTATAACTTTTAACGTCTTTTTTCCAGAAAATTCCAAGTATATTAAGAATTTCATAAAGGGGAAGCCTAGCTTCATCTTTTTGGGCCACCACTAGGTCAAGAGCACACATAGGGTGTGTATCGACTGCATGAATGGATGTGACAGTTTTTAGGTACTTGTGTAGTTCAAAGTGCTACACAGCCTGAAGTGTAGTAATTAATGTTAAGGTGGGTAGAGACAGAAGAAAGTGAACTTGGAGAAAACAAAGATGCAAAAAAGGCTATCTGCTCCCCCGCCCCACGTCCAAGGGCCTCTCTGACAAAGATCTTCAAGAGTTTATTTGTTGTCTCTGCACACACACACACACACACACACACACACACACACCTCATGCACTTCAAATTTGCCAGACATAAGCCTTTCATAATCTGTCCCTGTGAAAAGAACATAATTTAAGTCAGTAATACACCAGTAATTGTAACACTCAGGAGGTAGAGGCCGTAGGATCTCTGTGAGTTCATGGCTGGTCTGGTCTACATAGGGAACTCCTGGACAGTCAGGACTACATAAAGAGACCCTGTCAAAAAAGAAGAGGAGAAGAAGAAGAAGAAGAAGAAGAAGAAGAAGAAGAAGAAGAAGAAGAAGAAGAAGAAGGAAAGAAGGAGGAGGTTTGAAAAATAGGCATACAAAAGCAAGAGTACTACATCAAAATCATCCTGTCACCTGCTATTGGTCCATCAAGGCCCTCCAGTGTGTGTTTCCTAAGATACACTGGCAGAAAAGGGAAGTACAACAGAGTGAGGTGCCATGATGGAATAGAGAGACAGGGGCAAAGAGGAGTTCAGATTGGGAGAAGAAAGAAATAGTGTGTGGAATGGTTGAGCCCTAAGGCAGCTGTAGGCAGCAAGACATTTCAGACACCCCAAGATCGAAGCAAGTAATGTTACTGCTAAGTCCTGTGGGGTGTGTGTGTGTGTGTGTGTGTGTGTGTGTGTGTGTACATTCGTGCAATCAAAATAGGAAATCAGGTTCCCAATATCCACGATCTGGAATTACAGACAGTTGTGCGCCAACCAGCATAGAAATGCTCTTTATAGCTAAGCCTGCTCTCCAGTCCCCTGTTTGAGGATTTCTAATAAATAGAGCTTATTTATTATCTAATAAGTAGAATAACCCCTAAATCAGCTAGTTATCATTATGAGCCAGTAATTCAGTTTAAAAACTAAGCCAAGAGCCAGCTAAGCGAAGCAAGCTGGGCAGTTAAGGAAGAGAGGCTGTACCTCTGGACTCCTACTCCCACAGTGTAGGAGGCTTTCTGTCTTCAAGCTCCTATGTCCCTGACACTGAGGCCGTGGGTATGGATGACTCAGTCCACTTCAATTCAATCCAGTTTTGTTCAGGTTTGCATGTTTATGATACAAAGGTCCAAGGATGAATCTATCTCCCCATAGACAATGACACAAATGAATTGGTCACCTTTCTAGCCCTTCTGACTCACCCAGCAGCACTGGTCTCCCCTGGGGCTCCTATACCTTCTTGAACATCTCTCAAACTCACTTCCTATCACACTGTGTGGCAATTACCTCTTTAAGTGTCTCAGATTCCCTCTCTACTGTCAGCTCTCGAATGGCAGTCACCTCTTTGTCCCCAGAACCTGACACAAAGGAAGTCCTCTGCAAATGTTTACCGAGGAAGAACGAATCTTTGGAGAATGTTAAAGCACAACGTGGAGAGGAAAACAGGGGCTCTAATAAATGTGTAGGGAACATGGAACACGCAGCGGTCAAAAAGTAGATTAGCTCCAAATGAGGTGCTCACGATAGCCTTTGCAAAGCAGTGGCAATCAGTCTGATTCTTGGTAGATGAGGAATTTATAGGCATTTACCAGATTTGGGAAATGTTTGTGTTTGGGGTGGAAGCAGGGGGGTTATGAAGAGTTTTCATTCCAAGGCTGAGAAGTCAGCTTAAGAAGGAGTCACGAGTGCTCGTGGTGCAGGCAAGAAACTGAGTCATCAAGAGACTGGAGTGGATGCAGCGCTGAGAGGATGCAATAGCCCTGAAGGAGGGGCTGTGGACAGCACACAGCAGGGACAGTCCTGAAGGAGGGGCTGTGGACAGCACACAGCAGTCACAGCCCTGAAGGAGGGGCTGTGGACAGCACACAGCAGTCACAGCCCTGAAGGAGGGGCTGTGGATGGCACACAGCAGTGAATGGCTTTTCCCTTCTTTTAGTTGGGGGAAGGGTTGGTTTGGTTTTGTTTTCTGTTTGTTTGTATTTTGGGGAACACAGACATGATCCAATATGGTACTCAAATCCTCCTACAGCCACCTCTCTCTTCTACCTAGAACTGGAACTGGCCATTAGAGTCACCCTTTACGCGGTGATCTTTCTCATGAGTGTTGGAGGAAACGTGCTCATCATTGTGGTCCTGGGACTGAGCCGGCGCCTGAGAACTGTCACCAATGCCTTCCTGCTCTCCCTGGCAGTCAGTGATCTCCTGCTGGCTGTGGCTTGTATGCCCTTCACACTCCTGCCCAACCTCATGGGCACATTCATCTTCGGCAGCGTCATCTGCAAGGCCGTTTCCTACCTCATGGGTAGGTGAGACAAACATCCCCGCCTTGGCCCTCTCCCTTCTTAAAGTACTTGGCAAATACAAGGGTTTTTCCCGATGAGGGTGAGGAAATCACAGTGTCACCATGCAGTGTGTGTGTTCCCAACGTGATCGTTTCTTCTCATGTTGCTTAGGGGTGTCAGTGAGTGTGTCCACGCTAAATCTCGTGGCCATCGCCCTG